GTGTCGTTATGATCTGCATAGTCGCACAAAAAACACATCCCTTTTCAATATCTGCTGTTGTACCTGCACATCCGCATTAGATTTTATTTTGAAATCTGATAAAAATAGCATAGCTTACGAAAGGAGGATGCCTGTGTCTGAATCTCATTTACCTGGTCCGATGCACCCGGTTTGTGGTACGCCAGTAAATCAGTATTGGCACGATTCTTTTTTTATCATTTCACCGGATAATAAACATGTATAATTGCAGCGAGTGTGTGAATTTGTCGAAGCACTGCGGGTTCTAGTTGCCAACAATAGGTAATTGGACCGAGTACTGAAAGGCGCGTCACAATAACAATGGGTACGACAATTTGTTGTAGTAAAGTTAATCTACGACAAAGTGATAACGGTCACCGTGCGTCCGTGGCTTTCTTGATATTGACGAATTAACTACGCGTATTCACAAAGACGATTGATTAGTTAAATAATGATCACTTGATAGCTGCACGTGGTTATGAGTGAACAAATACTCGAACAAACGCTTATTCAAATAATAGTACTACACATTATTTGTAATATACATGAGCGCACCATTGGGCATTATATTGAATATTATTATGTACACCATTTATATACAATTATACACGTGCATTATGCAAACAAGCCTATTAAGTTATCATGTCACAGTCTGTCGTGGAATTGTACATTATTTACCTGTTATTTGCACATATCACCGGCAATAATAACGTCACCATTTAAATGTTTGCTTCATTGAGACCATTTACAATATGTTTATAGGGGTTCTTTACTGAGAATAAATCTGACGTTGACAGATTTATGAAGGAACATAACCGTACGCATCGCTGGAACGAGGATGGTTCATTGTCATATTGGTATACGTTGCCAGCGTTTGTGAAACATCCTAAAACAGGTAAGTCATCCTTGCAAAAGCGCCAACTATTATAATAACACTACCATTTTGCTCCTGTTCTAACTGATTCCCTAGTAAACTTTGCATAAATCTGTCTAATATTGACGTAATTGTGAATGGATATACAGTTATTGCAAACTACTACTTTTATACACGATGTTAATTGGCGTATAAATATTACTTTCAAATTTCTTATAAAATATAAATTTGTGTTATTATCCACAACTGGAATAGAATTAATTACAAGCACATGTATTTTGTCGTACAGGAGAAGAAGTGTGGTTTAATCAACTGCATTCACACAATGCATCATACTTCAAAGACCACCCCTCGTGGACAAACCAAAACATCCCGGATGACAGGTATCCATTTCACTCTTACTACGGCGACGGAAGCGTCGTGGAGCCGGGAACCTTGCAACAAATCCGTGACGTCAGCTGGGAGTTGTCTGTTGGATTTCAGTTAAAGAAAGGCGACGTGATCGTCTTAGATAATCTGTATACACAGCATGCACGGTTGGGATTCTCTGGACAACGAAAGTTGCTGGTCAGCATTGTAATGGACTAGAGGAATACACTGATAAATCGTGTTTTTTTTAGAGGTTTCGTGGCCC